GATCGGTTTTGAAAAAGCGGTATCGTTGCATCCCTAATTGGAATGCTCAGGTAAGATGATGTAAAATTATAACAGCCTTCTCTCTGTACTGTCTTCTTTGCTCGCTGTCATCACTTTCTCTTTTATTCTCGTGCACTGACTCCATCGCAAAGCTGAACAGCCAATTTGAGTTCTCTCACCGACGGCCCGAAGCCGATTCAACATGCTGAATCGGCCCCAAAAAAAACCCAATGGTGTCTGAATAGAGCCAACAGTGCAGAACACACCTAAAAAACTAAGCACCGATGCTCAAATATGGCCCCACATTGCCCAACATCCAACCGTCAGCTTGGTGTGTCCCTGCCTTAAAGGCACACTGTGGAACTTTTCAACCTTTATAATATATTACCAAAACCCATTGAGATGGTACATCGACTTACAATAGGTTGAATGACACGTCTGCCGTAGCCTGAAGGTGTCTGTATCGCTTTTCCTAGCACTATGTAACTTCGGGTTTCGGGTAGGAACCCGAGCACAAAAAGAACTACAAAATTCAACCGCTTTACGGCATACGTCACTTCCCCCACCACTTCCTCAGATTCTGACGTGAGTGCTCAACTCGCGTTTGATTGCCGTCTGTATGTTTTCGTCATGGCCGAACCAACAGCTACAAGGAAGAAGGCAAAGGTTTTGTCAGAGGACACTAAAAAAATAAAGAAAAAGGCATAGTGACAAATGAAAAGCCAGGACGAGGATCACCATTGGTCCAGCGTTCGCTCGCTGGCGTGAGCTACAGGAGGAGGAGGGGTGCCCGACCGATGCTGACGCTTGCCTGCACACAAATGCCGTTTCCAAGGTGACCCAGATAAATCATATAAGTAGTGTAGTATTTTCTGGTATTCCGGCCACAGCCGATGGTGTTATGTGTGTAATAAAATGCCCACAGCCCATTGTTCATTTCTACACTCAAGCACAGCCCGCCACAGTGCAGGGCTCGCACAAATAAAGTCGACTCATGTCAAATGTACATTAAATGTAGTGAACGTGCCCACGACTCAGTGCCCACAAACACTACACACAACATGTCCCACGGTTTCTGTAAAACGAAACCAACACACATAAGTTACAGTCAGCTCAGGCCGACGGTGTTTTTAGTGCAGTAAATGTGCCCGGCCCGCCGTCCCGCGCCCACATTTACTCAGACATGTTAGCACTAAGCCCCACGGGGCTCGCCCCGCTCTCTCTCTCTCTCAGCAGACTGCTATAAGGGAATCGAGCGCGGCAAGGCTGCCCGCCTCAAACACTGCAAGCACACACAATCTAAAGACACGGGAGGCTGACCCACTGTCTATGGTCTGACCGGTTGACTGTTTGTTGACTTTTGCGACAGTGCTGCGGAGCTTGTGGCCTCTAGGGACGCTAGACGTGAAAGTTACAGGTCGAGCGCCACTAGTGGCCAAAAGTTCCGCGGTGTGCCTTTAAGAGCTGCACAATTAATCGTTAAAAGATCGCAATCTTATGCTGCGTTCCAGGCAGGTTTTTGAGCACGTAAATCACGACTTCAAACCACGACTCACGACTTTATAGCATTCCAGGTCAGTCACGCCAAACTACATGAGCGCAAGGAATTTTGGTAGCTAGATGTAAACAAACCAGCATGGCAGACCTTACGGGGCTTATGCGTATTTGTAATAATTTCTGTCGCCAAAGGTGCTTACTTCTTGTTTATTTGAGGGAAACGGAGGAGGAAAAACGGCGCATATTGTATGGTTTCGCGGGCTATGTGACGTCAGAGCTCGTAACTGGAGTACATCGATCTAGTACGAGTTCACGGGTAAGAAAGTCACAGGTTTGACTTCTGTTCCAGTGCACTTTCACGGGTATAAGGTTGGAAAAACACGGGTTACAGGTTGCCTGGAACGCGGCATTATTCCTATGGCGATTCGGCTTAAACCTTTGACAAGTAGGATCTCATTCTCAACTAACATCCAAATCTGCGTTGGCGTTGCTGCTGACCCAAAGAGAGCAGTTGTCATGATTAAGAAACAGCTTTACGAACAGTGTTTTCAACCACACAGTAGCCTATCATAATTTATTTTGTTACAGTAATCAAAATGTCACAAATGTGCTTGGTAAAAGTTTATAGTTCGGATATAAACAATAATGTCAATGGAAGCGATCAAAATAGAGCAAATCACCTTTTGAAAGTAACTTGACTCTTCAAATAAAGATTGCATCAATTACATCATTATGGCAATAAGTGACTGTTAAAAATCTATTTGTTATTGAATCATTCATTTTGTCAGAACCAAATTACATGTTATTTTGATGTCTAATTTTAGTTGTCTATTCAGAATCGTGGGAGAATAATCGCTATTTTGAACAAAAAAGTTGTGATTCTCAATTTATCCAGAATCGTGCAGCTCTAATATGTATGTAACATATAGCCTAATAGCCTACATAGTGTGTATACACACACACACACACATCTCTGCCAAAACACAACGCCCACTCTGTGCATGAGGTCAGTTATGATAATGTCTTACACCTGCAACTTTACAGTCCTCCTACCCACGCAGGGCCCTTTCAGTCACTCAGACACTCCTGTCAATTGTGTTTCTGTGCAATTTATATGTGCAATCTTCTCTTAGCTTTATAAACACACCTGCAAGCTTCCTACCTTCCTCTCGACCTGTCATGCACATATGTGCAAAGCCACCCACACACACCATAGATGAGGACTCTTCTCACAATATCCCCATAAATACACTCACGCACACTTAGTGATCATAAAGCATTTACATCTGCCTGGCTCTGTGCCTTGATATTGGGGACGGAATTTACCCAGTGGGTCCATTCTCCACAAATGACTGGTGAATCTGATGGCATTTCTGTCTCAAGGTGAAATATATGCTCAGCTTTAAACAAAGGCATGAGGGCACATGTGTTGACCTTCTACCCTAGGAGACAAAATGATCTCTAACCCCTCCTTCAGCTTTCCATCCAATCCTCCCATTTTGTTTGCATCTTTATATGAAATGGATTACTGTGTTTCTGTACATTTAATGCCTCTAAGTTAGTGTGGGAATTAGGGAGTGGCTTTCAGGTGGTTGGCCATTTTAATTCAATTTTTGGCTTTTTAAAGGAATTTTCAACCTCTGATTATTATTTAAAATAAGGTATTTTTTCAGGGCCATAGCTAGCTAAACATCAATGTAATGTAATGCCAAATATTTAACTAAAATAATGATAATTTATTTGTCGGTCTGTGTCCTAATAAATGTTCTGGTATTTTTATTTGTGCTATCATTTTTGTAATTATTTAGCCCATAGTGCTAACCAGCTTTTGTAGATTGTTTGAGAGGCATTTTTGTACACTCTTTCCCCTTTCACTGATTAAAATATTTTTTTTGAATACGAGGCATTTTTTTGGCTGTAGTTCCTAAAATTAACATCCACAGTGATTTATTAACTATAACATTTTACTAATGTGTGACAGGAAGTGACGTGCAGCCAGCTGTTTTATAGCCCTGCAGTGAGATATGCATCCTGTCCTCTTCATGACAGTCCGGGTGTGTGACCATTTCAGTTCCAAGAGTCTGTGAGGATATCCTGCCACACAGCTGTGTGGTCAAACACTAGTATATATGTGCACTCACTCTCACATATGGAGACACACTCTTGTGTGGGATTGCTCTCTGTCTCTCACTGTCTGACACAGAGAGCTGTTCTGCTCAGTCAGCACACATACACAAACACTCCAAGGTCATTTAGCTCTGTACAGTATCCATCACTCGAGCCCCTACTCAACATCTCAACCTTCTCCATCAGAGCAAAACACACACACACACACACACACACACACACACACACACACACACACACACACACACACACACACACACACACACACACACACACACACACACACACACACACACCAGTTCTTACACAGTCAGCACCTGCGTCTTGCGGAGACTGAACTCTAAATAATAACCAAATGTATAATTTTATAATATAGTATAATATAAAATCAAACATATATTTCATATATTAGTTGATTTTTTTTTAATTATTTGAATATTATAAAAAAAATGTTATGGTGTATTATAGATTTAATTATTTATAATTTTATGTACGTATATATATAAATGTTATTAAATATTTATGAGCACCTGTTCACAGTCTTTTATGTTCATCTCAACAATATCAGGCTTAGACCTGGCTGTTTCCAGCTTTACAGACTGAGGAGGAAGACTTTGACAACAAACATGTTTGTACTGCATTAACGGTAATTTCATAGTAATTTTTCTCCAATTTGTATACATTTTGCTCAAGCCTGCAGTGACAGGATTTTAGCTGTGAGAGTCCAATGGCATAGGCAAATCAAACTTAAACACACATTTTGATAATTCAAACATGCACAATGAAGACAAATTACTACAGCCTGATCCACATTTATATTTCTAAGATGAATTCAGCTAAATTGGGCTACTTTTTAAATGTCATCATGACTCAATCCCAAAAAGTGGCCCTTTTTTACTTGAATTCACCCTGTTTCCCTTTTCACCTTCTTTTCTTCTTAGTCCTTCACTCTTTTCTTCTTTTTATGCGTACTGTAGTTTGTGACATGCTCAGTCTATCCTCAGTAAAAAAGCACAGCTCAGGCTTAATACAGGACAGCACTGGATTAAGAGCTTCCTTTCGTAATCAGTCTGCTAAAGACACACAAACACACAAACATGCCTCACCCAGCCAAGACCCACTGCCCTACTGCGGGACATGCACTCGCATATTAAACACACACAGGGATCCAGTTGGACAAACGCACGTAGAAGTTTGTACCGCACAGCAAATCCTGTAGGTATAAGATTCACCTGCATAAACACACACACACACACACACACCACCTGTCCGGCACTGCAGCACACTACAGTCACAGATTCAGCAGAACATCCCACTGCAGTGAAGCCCGAACCCAGCAGCCCCTCCCAGCCTCACAAGCTCCAGTACACGCTTACCTTTGTGACAGTCATGCAGAGAAGAGTGCAGAAGAGTCAGCTTCTGTTCCTGAAATGCTGAGTGAGACAGCAGGACAGAGAGAGAGAGAGAAATAGATGGACTCACTGAGTGCGTGCAGTCTGCAGCCTCTACGACAGCAGAGTGAGACATGAGAGATTGTGAAAGAGGAGGAGAAGAAGAGAGAGAGGGAGGGAGGGTCTGGTCGCTGTCTCTCGCTGAGTATCCGAGCCTATCAGTGCCGCCGCAGCCGTGCTCCTGGATACTGCAGTGAAGTGAGCTCAGCATGTTACTACTCCCCCCCCCCCCCCCCCCCCCCCCTCTCTCTCTCTCTCTCTCTCTCTCTCTCTCTCTCTCTCTCTCTCTCTCTCTCTCTCTCTCTCTCTCTCTCTCTCTCTCTCTCTCTTTGCATGCGCTAATGAAGATTATTGATGTCCACAAACGCATAACCCTGTTCTACATGTCATAATCGTATTAGCTCTCTGTATACAACATACTGTATATTCAAACTCTCCCTCTCTCTCTCTCTATAGTATCTAGGCCTACTACAATAAAAATGTTGTAACTTGGCTGCTAATCAAAATTCAGAAAGCAAACAAAATGACAGAGACTCTGAAATCTTGAAAACTGTCCGAAGAAGAACCATATTAATTAATGTGGGTTTATTAATACACAAACTAGTGTTTTGGTGGAATGTGGTTCCTAAGGTTGTTGAGATAGAAAAATATTAATTGTTTAGTTAAAATGCATATACTTAAAAAAAAGAGAAGCATAAAGAGCTAGAAAAACTATTTTAAGAGGCTATATCATATGACTGTTGCAAGAGATCCATGACTGAGAAAAAATGTAGGATAAACCTAATTTTTTATGTTCTGCTGCCCTCTTGTGGGCTTAAGAAATATTACATCACTAATTACATTTATTGAACAACAAATTTAAAGGGATAGCTCACCCAGGCCCTGGAAAGCTTTTCCACTTTCGACCACTTCCTGAGGTAGTCTAAAGCGCATTTGACCGGATTGCTTTCGTAGTGTAAAACGCTCATCTGGTCAAATGCGTTCCAACAGCCACAAAAGATGACCTACTCTCCGCCTACTGACCTAAGCCTACTGACCAGCGTTCAGAGCAGAAAATAAAGCTGCTGCTCTCCGTAGCTTTTCCCGTTGTCTCCTTTCGCTTTCATATGTAAATTGCACAAGCTTATTTTGTTCATTAGATCGAAATATCTGGGAAAAAAAACATACATTTACTTACCCATAGACCCTCCCCTTGAAGAAATCAGGACAAAACCTGTTCCAAACCTGTATGACTTACTTCTGGCCCTTTTTACAGTAAGTCAGACCCTGCATGGATTCAGGGACTACTTTCAGCAGTTAGCCCCTCTTGGTGGAAGCCATAACTGCATAATTTTCAATGAAAAAAACAAAACAAAAAACTTTTTTTTTTTTTTTAAATGTCATTTATTCATGCAATAGCAAAGCTGAATTTTCAGCATCATAACTCCAGTCTTCAATGTCAAATTATCCTTCAGAAATCAGTCCAAAATGCTGATTTGGAGTTCAAGAAACATTTCTTATAATTATCAATGCTGAACACCATTCTGCTGCTTAATATTTTTGTGGAAACCATGATACATTTTACCAGTATTCTTAAAGTTTAAAAGAACAGCATTAATTTGAAATAGATTTTTTTGGTAACACTTTAAAAGACTTTACTGTCTCTTTAAACCAATTTAATGCGTTCTTGCAGAATAAAATGATTAATTTCTTTAAAAAAAAAAAACTTTTCGTAGTAAGTTAAAAAAATTTAGTTTGAAAGTTTGTCATGGCATTGTTTTATCTTAAGTTAGCATAAAGGCATAGTTCACCCAAATGAAAAGGACCTAAAAAGGAAGATTCTGTCATCATTTACTTATCATCACTTTTTAAAATGATAGTTGACACAAAAATGATGAACGTTCTGTTATCCTTTACTCACCCTCGTGTTGTGCCAAACCTGTATGAATTTATTTATTTTATGTAACATATAAGTAGATATTTATTTTTTTACGCATTCAATGTAAATGGCTTTCCTTGCACAGAAGAAAGTCATACAGGTTTGGAACAACACGAGGGTGAGTAAATGATAACATAACGTTCATCATTTTTATGTCAACTATCATTTTAAGATAACTATAGACTCTTAACTTGGCTAAACATTAAAGTTCAGTTAAGGGTCATTATGTCTGATGTTTAGAATAGTGCTGGGAGATTATGTTTAAATGCAACATCGTTTTTATAGTTAAATTGTAAATAATGTTGTCCAAACATGCAGATACCGTCTGCTCATTAAAACAATGAGCAGACATGACTGAGATAAGACATGCTTTTGAACTTCAAAAAGACCTACTGGAATTATACCTTCGGAAGAAGCAGAGATAAGAGCACAACATGCATTGAATATCTTATCTGCTCATGCCTGAAATTCCTCTCAATAGGCCTTTATATGATTTTGACTGAATCTGGAAGCAAAGTTCTACAGGAACTTCTTGGAAGTGTCGTTTTATAATAGACAGTGATGAGTGCAGTTATGTGTTAACTTAAAAAAAATGTTTTCGGTAACACTTTACAATAAGGTTCATTTATTAAACATTAGTTAATGTATTAACTAACATGAACTAACCATGAGCAATACATTTGTTATTGTTACTGTAAAGTGTTACTATGTTTTCTTTGGGTGTGAATTTGTGTGTGTGTGTTCAATGCAACAGGGGACATGATATTTCCCAGTGCTCGGTTCACTAACAGAATATTAACACTAGGGTGTAGTATTATACACCAGAGCACATACTTACTTATGGTTAGATTCAAGGCAGACCCCCAATTCTGGCTTGACTGTCCACCAGATCTGTCTGCACAGAAAGTGTTACTCTAGTGGAACTTTTAATGTGCAGTTCTTTGGTTACAGCTTCCCATATACATGACACAATGTTCCAGCTACACGCTGTCTGCACAGAAACCACTTCCTCTGAAGTCAGGGGCCAAGGGAAAAACTAAGGGCCTCCAGGAAGGAGACAGGAGAGTAGCTGATGAGCTGAGGGCTTTATGGAACACAAACAAAAGGAATAAGGTGTGTAACATAGGATATGGAAAATTATAGCTAAACTTCAAAGTATTAAAGGGATAGTTCTCCCACAAATGTATGGAAACAAATATTTGAAACATTTTGAAAAATCTCTTCTTTTGTGATCCAGAGAAGAAAGAAAGTCATACAGGAATGTAATGACATGAGGGTGAGTAGATGATGACAGAAGTGTCATTTTTGGGTGAACTAGCCATTTAAATGGGGTCCCTTGTGAAAAAGAAATATACTTTAGTATACCTTTACCCCCGGTTTCACAGACAAGGCTTAACTGAAAGCAACTTGCACTGACATATCTTAAAATATGTTAGTGTCTTTGTTTTGTCTCAAGATACACATCAGTTATGTTTTTTTTTTTCTAAGGCATGAACTAAGGCCTAATCCTGGCTTATTCTAAACCCTATCTGTGCAACCGGGCCTTATAGAGTTCTTATTACAGAAATAATATACTTTTAAAGGAATATATGTTAGTAAAAACTGAATGTAATGTTGGATACTTAATTGCATGTTAATTGCAATTAAATGAAAGTTAATTTTTAATACATGCAATTAGCTGAATTCTAGAGTGCTTTTTGACCAACTTAAGTTGGACTTAAGTAGCCTACATTAATTCAATTTACATTTCAGATATCTTCACTTTTCATTTAAACCTATAGGCTAATTGAGTAAAATCATTACATTTGAATTTGTGACGATATTATGGCAATTATCTTAAATTAAAATATGGGCAATTAGATATGTAAATATTCATATGCCTTTATAAGTCATAGAATAAATTTACCTTTTGTATGAAGCTCTTTTACTGAGATTATGCTTTGTCTGTCAACGGTTATTTAGTTATTCAACTAAATTGTAGAAACACAATTTTAAATAGAATAGTTGATTTAGAAATGTGGACATTAAAACATATAAATATTAATAAGAATATCAAATCATTTATACATTCTGTAGAATTTTACATGGGGTATAGGGGGCCATCTTGCCCCATAGTGGGGTAAGATGGCGTCTTTGAATATTTTTAACATTTTGTGCTTTGACAACTTTAGCAAATGTTTCCATTTATTCTCCTTAATAACACATGGTGCTGATGCACCAACATCCTGATTCTGCACATAAACTCTTATCTAAATATGTTACAATTTAAAAAGTAAATTCCCATTGTTCTACCCCCATCTTCCCCTACACTTATCGAATGACATATCAGAGTTAATATTACTTCTTTAAAGCATCACAAAGTATTGTTAAAACATAATGATTTAAAATGTACTTTAGAGTAAAACGTTTAATTTGACACTATTACTACATGCACTTTTTAAAAGTATACTTTTAAATATAAGAAACAGTCATGAAACTATGCTCTCTTTGAGTACACTTAAGTGGCCTGTTATTTCATAATTAAATGATCTGCAAGTACATTTTTTGTACAAGTACAAGCGCACTAAATGTTGATATGACTGTAATAAGGACATTTGACCTAGACTTTTCTAGATAATGTTGTATTTAGCCGCAGTAGTTTTCTTTATAAGGTTGTATTCCCAACTATATAATTTTACCTATAGTGTCCAATAGATCTGCCCCTTTATAACATGACAAGTTGAAGGAAACCATGTGACCCCACCCCCCACATCCACCATAACTCTCTCTGCATGTTTCCTCATAGTGATACATTAAGGTTTGCATTGCACACGTGGCATTTTCCCCTCATAAAGACATTAGCCTGTTAACTCCTCACATCATTACAGGCTTACTCTGCTGAGTTACTGCCACTGCTCCAGTCCAGAGGGTTAACCGGCTGCCTGGAAATAGCAGTAGCACCTCATTTCAGTACACAAGATCCAGGGGGCGGAGTTGGATCCAGATCTAAGGGGTGGAGATGGGTAGGATTAGGGGTGGGGTTAGGGATCAGGGGGCGGAGATGGGTAGGATTAGGGGTGGGGTTAGGGATCAGGGGGCGGAGATGGGTAGGATTAGGGGCGGGGTTAGGGATCAGGGGGCGGAGATGGGTAGGATTAGGGGCGGGGTTAGGGATCAGGGGGCGGAGATGGGTATGATTAGGGGTGGGGTTAGGGATCAGGGGGCGGA